CCCCCCCCCACTTCAGAGGTTCAGAACATATTCTCCCTAACCTAAACTGGTCCTGGAGTTCCTTAGACCATGGCAGGAGTGTTTCTATTTTGACTCCTCTCTCAACCAATGACATTTTCCCACAGCTCACTACAATTGCACATCAAGTGAGCAGAAGCTGATTTTTCTTTTATCTTGGGCTTCTTGCAGCTTAATTAAGAGAATATTAAATATGCAAAATGCTCTAGTAATGTGAATGTTGAAGAGCAATTAATATAGGATCACTGATGCAAAAGTGAATTGATCAGTCATGCCAGTAGTCATACTGTAATCAATTTACTCATCTATAAAATGAGGGAATTGAAGGAAGTGATATCTAAGGTCCTTGCAGTTTGAACTCTGTGACAGTATGTGGCATTTGCATTGCTGCCTCAGCTGCTCGGTTATTTGAATTGGTGCTGATTGGCACCAAAACACTGATGGGAACTGGATGGTTCAGTTTGATTTCTTGACCATACAGACACATCTTTAGTAAGGTGAAACTTACTATACTTAATGTGCTAAATTACATCCTGGTGGCTTGAAGAAATTAAACCAGCTTTTGAAGAAGACTGTGAAAGGAGGGAGTATAGTATAGAAGGGACATTGGCTGGAGTACCCCATTTCTAGTCTCTCTGTCACTCTGTGACCTTGGACAAATCACTTAACCTTTCAGTCTCAGATTTTTTATCTGAAAAAAAAAAAGGAGTATCTGTGTTGGGGGCGGCAAGGAGCTTACGATAAAATTTAGTTCTTAACCTTTTTTATTTGTTTGTCATGGATCCCTTTGGAAATCTGGTGATGCCTATGAACACTTTGTCAGAGTAGTGTTTTAAATGCAAAAAATAAAACATATAGCATTACAAAGGAGGCAAATTAGAATGAAAGAAAGATGTATTTTTCCCTCCTCCAAGTTCACAAACCCCATGAAATCTCTGGACCCCAGATTAAGAACCATTTTGATGAATGATATTAAGGACCTTGCCATCTACAAAATTTTATGACCCTATAGTGGTGGGCAAATCACAATTTCTCTGGGTCCCAGCTTCTGCATCCTTAAAAAGTGAGGGCTAGACCTAGTGATAACATCTCTTCTAGCTCTACACTTTTAGGATTCTAGGCTGAATATCACTTTGATCCACCTTGCCTTTGATAAATCCTTGCTAAGTCCTTGCTCCTCTCTCACCATTTCAAACTATGGCCAGGATGCCTCTTCCTAGCAGTCTGCAGACCACCTTAATCTTGAGTGGCTTCCCTTTCTCCCTTAGGTTTTCTTACTGCAATGGCGTTGCCTTGACTTGAATTTATATATCATGTAAATCTCAGCATCCTAGGTCACCAATGTCCCTGGCCTTTTTTCTTTTTCTTTTTCCCTTGGCTCACCTTGTGCCCCATCCTAATCTTAGTTCCCTAGCCTGTTTCCATGAACACCTAGATGAATAGCCTAAGATGAAGAATTTTCCACTCAATTCTACAAGTCATACTATGAATGAAATTTCCACTAGACTCAGCAAAAATAGATCAGTTCCCACATTGGATGCTATGGAAAAGGACAGTCAAAAAGAATAGAATGAAGATATCAAAATTCATTTTAGGTAACCTATCTTGCATTAATCTTTATTTCACAATGGTGGTGCAGTATGGTGCAATAGAAAGCACCTGGGTTTTGAGGCAGAGGACCAGGGTTTTATCACACTTCTGTTACTATCTGTATTATCCATCACTTGAGCTCTCTGGATCTCAGTTCCCTCATTGGTAAAATGAGGGAGCTGAACTAGATTGTCTCCATTCTTTCTTTTATCAAGAGTTTTAGTGTGTCTTGGGTTTTGGTAGACACCCTATTAGGTTGCAGTATTTGCTCGAAAGCACCCCGATATCTGATTAAGAACACACATCACCTAAGGGAGTACAGAGATCTCAGTGATATCTTGAAACTTGACTATATTCTTAATGTAACTATTTGGATGATTGCTTATTTCTATTGAGGTTTTTTAAAAAATGACTTCTAATGTATGTTTGTACCTTTGATAAGCAAAGTGCCTTATACATAATGGTAGGCAATGAAATACATGGTGGAAGGCATCTGTTTGTCAACTGGATGAAAGTACACAGTAGGCATCTAATAATTATTTCTTGGATTGGAATGAAGGGGAATCTAATTTTAATTGCTTCTTTAATAACAGGTTCTGAGACATGTGCAGCTTCTTCATACCACAAGATGGCAGTACAACATAAATTTCAATTTCTGACATCTAGATTCCATACCATACATGTAAGCAAATGATCTCTTATAGCTCTCTTATCACGTTTCCAACCTGACTCATCTGACTGTGGAGTTTATTTTTATCTGAGTCATAGTTACATGTATATAATGCCTTGTTAGCTGCTTATATCTAACCTCGTTTCCTAGTACATTTTACCACTTAAGTTACTTGTGGTTTTGAGTAAGAATCAGATATTTCCCCCCAATAAAACTTTTAAAGTGTTATAGGCTCTTGAAATGTCCAGCTGTTATTTCAAATGGCTTGCCTTTTCTATTTTCATGTAAACTTATGGCTTCCCTTTTATGCCATTTTCAAATTGGATTTATGATAAAGAGGAAAGTGTTTCACTGAACTTTTCCCACAACATATTTTAATGAACTTTGGTTTTACTTATAGTTTTCAACCCCATAAATTTTATTTACATTGATACATAGCCATGCTGTAACCACAACCCCAGATTTGACAGCATTTCCAAGAACTGATACAGAATTCATATGTAATAAGTGTATCTATATACAGTGCAAAGGATTTTACAGCTAATTGCATTCTTTTTGTGATCAGTGCAAGCAGCCAAATTAAGAAATGGTAATTCACTTCTCTCCTTCCTTTCTATTCCCCCCCAAAAAAAATTCCATTTTGGGGATTAGATTCCAGAAATCAATACTGAATAGATCCTGGCAACTTTGTTATCCAAATGTCCTAATTTAAAAAGCAAATGAACAATATTTGCATTTAACACCAATTTCCCCCCCCCCCCCCGTTGGGGTAAGACTATTATTTCCTTACTAGTAGTTTTCATTACAAGTTTTTTTTAAAATGGTTATCACACTTTATAGCTATGTTAAGTTAATCAAATAAACTGTTTTATAGGTTATATTTTGTGCCCTAAATAGTGAAGGAAGAAACTTTGGTTGCAGTACTTCGATGAAAATTTGTTGATGCATTTGTTGTGGTTGAAAGGAATGTCTTACCACAATGGAAAACCAACATGCCAACCAGTATCTTCAGGCATCCCTCTTCCACTCCCCTGAACAGAAGGTAAAAGCCCACCTTGAGCTGTAGAATTTTTCTTTAACCCACCACTGACAATGCTTCATAGTTCAGAACTTACTTATGTACATACAGTAGATGACAATCACCCCATTGGATATGTTGACCATTTATTGGTACCTAAGTTACAAGGCAATTGCTAAATAAAATTTCTGGGCAGGTATTTTAAAACTTCCCCCAACTTTAAGACAGATGTGGGAGCAAACTAACCTAGCTTTGCAGATTGCTTTCTAAACAGAAATCCAGTTAATAGCGAGGATAACTCTGGGAGGATGTTTCAAAATTATTACTGACAGCTGTTATATGGGATAGTCCTGATATGAAATTAACTCAAAGGTCATTTACAAACCCAAAGTCCTATGGAAAAAGCTCAGTGTTCTGATTTCATTCCCAACCTGTATTTTAAAATACTTAAGACAACTGGAAATTCCTATTATGGAAAGTAAAGAGAAAAATATCTTTAGGGGATGCAAGAAACAAGTCTCAATGAAGAAGGTTTTTCCCACAAATGATGATTGATGCCTATGTCATTAGCAGGGTAGCTGCCCATCTCTTATCTTGATTGACAGGTTAATAAGGGACCTGGGGCTATCTTTTCAGTGCTAACACACAACCTTACCAATTACTTTTACATTATTGCTAATCTGACAGAAAATAACAAGCATAAGGCATAAAAATATCTGAAAAGAAGAAATGTCTGATGAAGCAGCTTTTACTTCCGGTGCCTTAAAAGACTGCAGCTCAGAAAATTTGCCAGAATTTAGTCAATAGATTTTAGACACAAGATTTTTTTTTTAAAGAAAAAACTTGTAGTTTATAATAGTTCATTGGTTCAATTAGGAGTGAAAAAGAAGGGAGTTTTGTAATGCAATTGTCCGGCAAAGGAAAATGCTTTAAATTGGGGGATTATGTGAACAGACCACCTGTAGGGCATTCATAGCTCTTTTCTATAATGCTTCAACCCATGCCTTGCTGCCTGTAGTCTGGCTAACAATGCAGGGAAAATCTGTTTAAAAGGCTGCTCTCCCTTTTCCCTCTGGTGTTCACTAACTGTTACAAGTCTTCCTCTCTCTCTCTGTCTCTCTCCCTCTCCCTCCTTTTTTTTTTTTAAGCAAAAGTCCCACATGCCCTTAATTGAAGAACTTTAAGGCTCCATGGTGGCCAATTGGTCTGCAACAAGAGGAACCCGGCAGCAGGGAAAGAAACTTCAGACTATACATCACATTTGGAGAGGAGAAAAGATCAAAGTTTTTCAAACTCAAAAGACCAAGTTCCCTACAGATTAACCCTATTCATTTAGCTCCTCTTAAAGGAATGATGTGCTGAGACACTGGGCAGACAGGTAAAAAGTTCAACAATTGCCAAAGCATTCTTCTGCTAATTCAACAGCCTTCTGCTCAAATAAATTAGCTTAGTCTTGACAGAGGAACAATACCTTTCTCTTAGAAAAGAACCACATTTGATATACACAAGTATGATAGGTTATTAAGATGTTAACCTGTTAGTTTAATCTATTAAAGAGAGCCTGATCTATCCACCACCCAATTTCAAGTGACTTATACAGTAAAGTGGAATCGATTGGTTTTAAAACATCAACCTTCACACTTCAGCAATGTGTAGTTCTTGGAATGCCAGGGGTTTAGAAAATCATAGACAACAGAAATAAAATTGTAGGGATATTAAACTTTAGTCACATTTTACAGGATAAATAACAAAGCCTAAGGTAAATGACTGCCTTGCAGGAATTCAGTTTACACATATGTAACTACTGTCATGATTGTCATTAACCAAAGAACAGGATAGAGCTGTTGCAATAAACACCATCATTTGGAGGGTGCAAAGACTCAGCTTTGATTCTGGCTAAACAATAATTATTTGCAAACAATTTAGGAATTCAAGTTTCTTAACAGAGGTAATGCTTCTTCAGCCCTCAGGGCAGCGTACAGTAATTTTACTATGTAGAAAATTATTTTGTTGCATGATGCTTTCTTTACCCTTCAGCAAATAGTTTAAAGAGTAACAGTTTAGAACAGGCAGGGGGAGAGGGCAAAGCTGAAATCATTTATCAAAAGTCATTTTATTGACAAAATAGAATAGTCATATTTGTTCTTACAGGGGTAGCCTCTAAACTTTTTACAAAAAAAAATGTACAGACAGTATATCTTTTGATATGTACATATTTTACACATTTTTACAAGTTAACAAATAATTATATAAATACATCCTTTAATGTAAGAAACCCGTATTTACTTGGGGTGTATAATTAAGACATGGTTTTGTTTGTTTGTTTAAGGCATTTGCCTGGTCATTAAGAAAACCCAAACCTTGCAGTCCCTTCAGGTCGTGATCATCCCTCCTTTAGGATGTGTTAATCATAAGAGTTTATGTAAGGGAGTGAGTGTATGTATCGGGGGAAGGAAGACACAGCCCTCAAACGACATGTGCTGCTGCTCTTTGGGTTTCCAGGCGAAGCACAGGACCAGGAGTGAAAGCTTCTTGCCTTCCGTTCTAGAGATTGGGCTGAATCCACCCTTCTTTGCCAACAACAACAAAAAAATCAACATTGCCTTGCAGTAACAGTTCCTTGCATATAAATGGAGGAAAGGGGGGGATCGGGTCTGCGAGTCTTCAATGCCAGGTACATTGTTCTAACCAAATCATTTAAGTCCCGGCTAATGGATACCATTAAGACTTCATTATCATGCTAATAGCAATCAACACAGGGAAGGGGGGTGGGGGTGGGAACTTCTGACAGTCAAAGGTCCCTTCTCCCCTCTTCTTCTCACCCTCGCCTAGTCCTTTTCCGTGAAGTTCTCTCCTTTCTTTTTTTTTTTTTTCTCTTTTTGCCCACTGCCGCCCCCCTTCTAGACCTGGGATAATGGCATTTGTTTGGGATAGGACACCGAGCTGGCGGTACCCGATCTCCACGTCAAGCCCGTGCTGACATCGCTGTACATAGAGCCCCCTCCTCCCATTCCTCCGCCTCCCACTCCTCCTCCCCCGCCGCCACCTCCCCCTACTCCTCCTCCTCCTCCCCCCTCCTCCTCCTGCGCCCACGGCGGCTGCTGCGGCTCCTCCGCCCGGGCCAGCTCCCTTGCTGGCCCAGCAGCAGCGGGTGCACAGGGCCCGCCACGACTCCAGCGTCTTTCCAGACCAGACCCACACCCCCGAGGTGATGCCCACCACGAGGCACATAAAGTACTTGAGCATGAAGACTGCGTAGTCCGGCCGGCGGGCCTGGTCCGGCTGCAGGTCCCGCAGGCAGGGGCAGTTGTGGGTGGCCTCCCAGCGGGGGCGGTTGTGCTGCTCGTAGAAGAGGCAAGCTACCACGACGGCGGCCGGCACGGTGTAGAGAACGGTGAAGAGGCCCAGGCGGATCATGAGCTTCTCCAGCTTGTGCGTCTTGGTCGGGCCTCCCTGCTGCTTGATGACCGAACGGATGCGGAAGAGCGACACGAAGCCAGCTAGCAGGAACATGGTGCCGATGAAGAGGTAGATGACCAGCGGCGCTAGCACGAAGCCCCGCAGGTTGTCCAGGCTCTGGTTGCCCACGTAACAGATGCCGGCTACGGGGTCGCCGTCCACCGAGCTGAGCGCCAGCACCGCGATGGACTTGACACTGGGCACCAGCCAGGCAGCCAGGTGGAAGTACTGCGAGTAGCCCGCGATGGCCTCGTTGCCCCACTTCATGCCCGCCGCCAGGAACCAGGTGAGCGATAGGATCACCCACCAGATGGAGCTGGCCATGCCAAAGAAGTAGACGAGCAGGAAGACCACGGTGCACAGCGCCGGGCCCGTAGTCTCGTAGCGCACGTGCTGCTCCACCCGCGCCCAGCTCCTCATACTCGCCCCGCCCGCCAGCACCCCCTGCAGCCCCCGCCGCGGCCCCCGCGGCCCCTGCCCCGCCGCCAGCCCCGCCCGCGCCGCCAGCTCCAGCCGCCCCGCGCCGCTGCATGCGACCTTCTCGTGCCCGGCCACCAGGCGCACCAGGTAGCCAACTGAGACGAAGAGGTAGCAGGCAGAGAGAAAGATGATGGGCCGCTCAGGGTACTTGAAGCGCTCCATGTCGATGAGGAAGGTGGACACAGTGGCGAAGGTGGAGACGAAGCAGAGCACCGACCAGAGGCCGATCCAAAAAACGGTGAAGGCGCGCTCGTCCTGGCTAAAGAAAGGGTTGTGGCAGGGCAGGGCGCAGTTGGCGATCTGCCCCGTCTTGACCCGGTTGTACAGAGGGTGCCGCTCGCTGGACACAGACACCATGGGCGCACGGCACTGGCAGCCCGGCTCACAGGGGGAGGAGCCGCCGCCAGGGGCCCGGGATTTCCCGCCTCCGCCCCGGGAAGGGGGAGCGGGAGCCTCCGAGCTCTTGCCGCCGCCGTTGCCCCGGTGCGGGGGCCGGCCCCCCGGGGGCCGGTGGTGCCCGGAGCCCGGGGGCGGCTGCTCGCCAGGCAGAGGGGGTGGCGGCGGCGGCGGGTGGTGGTGGTGTGGCTGGCTGGGCGAGGCGGTGGTGAGGTCGGTGCGGTTGTAGTCCATGCACAGGGTGTCTGGGTTGCCCTGCTCGGGCAGCCGGTCACAGCGCATCCGGTCCGGCCATGCGAAGCCGTACTGGCGCATGAGCGGGGCGCAGCCGGCCTTAGCTCGCTCGCACACAGAGCGGCAGGGCGGCAGCGGCTTCTTGTAGTCCTCCAGGCAGATCGGCGTGTACATGCTGCACAGGAAGAACTTGAGGTCGGGCGAACACTGGATCTCCACCAGGGGCCAGAACTGGTGCACCTCCAGGCCCGCTTCGTCCTGCGTGTCGTGATTGAACTGGTTGGGCATGTAGGTGTAGTTGTAGCCGATGCCCTTGCACAGGGGCACAGTGATCTCTTGGCACGACAGCTCCTTGGCCGAGGCGGCGGCCGCTCCGCTGGAGCGCTGCAGCAGGGAGAAGGCAGCGATCAGGGAGGTGACTTCCAACAGGTAACTCCACTCCATACTTGGCTCCTCGCACACGGCCCAGTCGGCAGACTCGCACACCTCCGAGTCCTCCAAGTGTCCCTCTCGCCACGCTTAGTCCTCCCCAAATCTCTCCCTGCACCGCGGGAGCTGGTGGAGGGGTGGAGAATGGAGAGGAGGGAGGGAGAGGGGAAAAGAGTAGCCTGGCGAGCAAGCCCCGTAGCGAGCGCCTTCCAAGCTTCCCCCGGGTACCAGCGGGGGCTGCGCTCCTCTTGCTGGTCCCTCCCCCTGCCCCTCTTCGAAGGTCTCTGGCTTCTCCAGGGAGAAGTGGATTGTAAATGGAGCTGCCGATTGCGCGCCCCCCCCCTTACCTCCCCCGCCAGCGGCTAGTCCCAAGTCTCACAGTCCGGGAAGCTGGATGAGGAAATCAATCCAAACCTCCCTCCCTCCCTCCCTCCCCCCTGCCCCCCACCCGCCTCAAGTCTCAGTAGCGGCTCCTTTCCCCGGGAGCCAGGGGCGGGGGGAGAGAAGGCGCCACCCCCGCACTCCCCCCCCTCTCCAAGTCCCACAGCAGTTCCTTTGCGGCTTGGAAAGGAGTAAATCGGGAGGGAGCAAGAAAAGCACTGCAGTCCTCCCTGGGAGGATCTTTCCCTCTTCCCCCCCCCTAAAAAAATTTCAGGTCCAGTTTCAGTCCGCCCGGAGAAGCGTTTCCAGTCGCAGTCTCATCGTCCTTCTGTTATTGCACTTGCTTTTTTTTTTTTTCTCCTCTTCTTTCGGGCCGCAGCCACTTTCTCTCCGGCTGCTTCTGGGTTGCCCCTGACTTTGCTGAGCACAGAAGGTGGTGTGGCTGCAAGTTTTGCCTCCGCTCCCCGTGATGCAAAGTCAAGATGGCTGAGCAAATATACAGTAAACTCCCTGGGTCCCGATATTAGCCTTTCCAGCTCTCTCTGCCCCTTAAGAACACCCCAAGACCCGCAAACAAATTTCCTCTCCTAAAAGCTGAGCAGCCAAGCAGGGTTTCTCCGGACTCTGCAAAGGCTAGTCAGTCTTTTTTGCAGTAGCTGCAGCTCAGCTCTTCTCCGGGTGTGGGGCAAATGGATCTCCCCTCCAGATAAAAGTCGTGGCGGTGCTGCTAGGGGACGCGCCGAGTTGTACGCAGTCAGGCCCCTTGTTAAAAAACAACAAACAAACAAACAAAAAAAACCAAACACCTGAGCTTCAGCTGCTGCTGCTGTCTCCTCCGCGGGAGCAGCGCCCTTTGCACAACTTCCCAGTCTCCAGCCCCCGCTACTTCTAGCCGCGGCCTCATGAATATTTATACCGAGCTGACTCAATCTCCGCCTCCTGAGTTAAGTCAGCCTATCTTTCGGAAGAGTGGGCGGAGACCAGGGACTCCCAAGTCTCAACCCCACTTAAGGAGGTTCTCTATATGAGTCTATGCTTGTAAGACGCACATGCAGACACTTTTGATAGGGATCTGGGGAGGGTGGAGGTTAGGTGAGGGGCGGTGTGTGTGCTTATCTTTTCCATGTTGAAGCTGCGGTTTTCCAGAGGAAGCCCAGAATCCGCCTTCTAAACTGCACTGAAAAAACAAAACAAACAAACAGCCACCCCAAACATCCTTTCTTTCTCTTCTGTAGGTATATCGCTGGTTAGCACCTTTCTCATAATGTGTATACCTGAGGAGTCTATCTGTCTGCTCCCCCTGTCCCCCCAGGGTCGGTAGTTTCTGGATGAGTGTGGCCTTGTCCAGCTCCCATCTAACAAGTACCAGGCTAATAAAGTTTCCTTATCCAGATGTGAATGAAGCTGTGTCAGTGGTCCTGACCCAGCTTCGGCTGTTGCTCTGATGTCTTTGGAGGAGGCTACGGAGTTGTCTGTGCGCTTCCGGCAGTCACAGAGTGAAACAGCCTTAACAAGTTCTTAGGAAGCTTCAACGGAGTAGAAGGGCCTGGCCAGGTGAGTGCAAAGAAGGACTTGGGAGTGGAAGGGGGCTCCGTACCCCTCTACTTTATGAGAAATTGGAGCGTTTTTTTTAAACTCATGGTACCGACAGAGTTGCCCTTTGGGATCTTAGCAATAGATGTGACATGGGTCGAGGAGGAAGTGACCCACGGGTCACCGTGATCTGGGAGAGTTCCCTGGTTAGGGTTTCTAGCTGTGATCCCTGCCTTTAAATTGAACTTGGTCGAGTCACAACATCTCTGAACCTTGGTTTCCTCCTCACTAAAAAATGAAGGCGTTAAACTAGGTAACTGCCAAATTGCCTTTCCAATCAGACATTTCTTTGGGTCATAAGCTACTGAAAATGGGAAGGAATTTAATAGGTGCAGTTTGTATTAGGTGCTGGTTATCTGTAGGGAGGAGGGAAAGGCTTGGAGGAGCAAATAGGGCATATGATTTAGTAGACATTCATATCTGATATATGTGCAAAACTTAAATCACTGCAAAATATTCCATCCCTCAACCCCCACTCCCAACCACCATGACTAGTACCAAAAAGCACTTTGTTCCATAGACAGATGGAAACCTTTTCCCGGTCCTGGATTCCCTCTGAATCTGCCACACTGGTCTGTGTTGCGAAACTCCATCCAATTGCTGAAACAAACTTTTGGAAGCACATATGCGTTATATATGCACATCATAAACATATATGTAGCATGCATACATATGCACATCTGCGTAACCTACATTCTGAGTTTGTCTTCACCAAAGCGTCCTCCTTCTCCTCGCCCCACCATTTATTCACATCAGCCAGATCAGTGGAGAGGTGAGGCTCACTTAGCCTCCAGGGTGAGCAGGTCGGGGTTTAATTATGATCTTGGTACATGGGGTAATGGGGACCAGGGTTTCTTTTATACCACTTGTTACCATGCCAATTAACCCTTCCCCTTGCTAACTCCTCCAACCCACCTTAAGATAAGAGAGCAGGGAGTGGGGTGGAGGGGCAGGCTGCCTGGCAGGTTCATTTACGCTTGTTAGGACATCCCAGGGGGTTGTCTTACTCCTAGAATGGAGTGTTTATTTTTTAATTGATGTGCTGTTTCATTTAGCGCTTGTATGGAGCTCATGCTGGGGCTGTAATTACTGTAATCTCAGGAACAAGCATTTCAGTTAGCCAGGAGGGTGGCAAAATACTTTTTTTTTCTTTTTCTTTCCTTTTTTTTTTGGTTGCTAAATTTTTGCTATTTGTCAGCTTTCAAACTAGGAATAAGTAGTGTTAGAAAACAAGTTGTGTGTGGGGAGGGAGTATGTGGGGGCAGAAAGGAAGAATTAAAGGTATATCTGAGGCCAGTGCAGACTTTTTTGGAAAAAAAAAACCAAGCAAATGTCATAAAACAAACCAAAAAATAATAATTAGCAGCATTTATATAAGGCTTGAACCAATGGAATCTTTGCCTCCACACCTCCTGCTTTTCAGTTGCTTAGCTCAGCTACCTCCTTATGCAGGGCACTCATAAGAAGAATGCTTTCTTTTGGTAAACGTTCTGTGTTTTCACCAAGAATTACAGTCATACCCCTATACCTCACCACCTTTTATTACTCCTTTTTAATTGAAGGATAGTTAGAACATTACTAAACTTCTCAAATGGGTGGGGGAAGGGATGGAATTCCTTAGGAATCAAAGATGCCAGGTTTTCAGAAACATTAACTGCCAATCCAGCAGAAGCAGATGGAGTCAGTCTGCAGAGACTACCTTTACTTGCAGTAAGTAACCATAGATTTGATTTCCTTTCTTTTCTTGAAACTCACAGTCTCTATTTCTATTTGTGGAGGGTATTAATTCAGAAAATCACATACTTGTAACTTGGTCAAAAAATCATTATTCTTATGAAGATGGAGCCCCAGGGTGACAGGTATGACTCTGATGTCATCTGCAGTGGCAATTATAAATAACCTTTTACACCCAGTTTGGACACTGCATTGCAGAGACAGCAGATGTGAGGTGCTGGTTTCCAAAAGCAACACAGATGTAGAAAAGTTTTCCACTGCTCTATTTCAGCATGGAAATGTCAAATACTAAAGGTGAGAGTTACAGTATATGAATCCACCAGAATTTTGGAAGAAAAGTCTTGATGGTTTTTTCAACCAAGTTGAAAATGGTTGCTTTTAGCTTTAGCCATCAGATTTAAACTTTTGCTTTTTTTTTAATTTTCGAAAGTAAATCCAATCACCCAAACCATTAGGGATATTAAGTTATTGCAACTTACCTTAAATATGTTGAAAGCAGAGAATCTAGAGTATTTTAAAATGCCAGTTTTTTTAGTTTCCTCTAAGTTATTTAGGTTCCTTATCAATTTGTCAGAGTAAATGTTCAAAAAAATTGTGTTTCAATTCAGAAGATTTAAAAATACCCTTCATTACTGTTAATTTTTTTAAAAAAAATCTCATATTTGAAAACAAATTAAACAAGGCTATTCAAGAAACCATTTGTGTATGGGAAAGTGAAGAAGGGTCAACTAAAGGAAACCAGAGTAACTTAGGAATGGTACAAATTAAATATCCTTTTAAGTACAGCAGCTCTATGGGGTGGGGAGGGGGGTGGAGAGAGAAATAGCTTTGCCTGGTGGAATATAAGAGAACAATTCCTACAGAGATGTCTGAACAGATGTCTATTGACTCAACTTCATCCAAGCATAGAACCAGCATATGAAAGCAAGGGTCTGTTTCAGGTAGGATCATTTTTTGCAGAAGTATTGATTGTCAAGTGAGATAGGATTCTATCCCACATTTCCAGATGTCACAAACGTAAGAAACTTTTGAAAAAGTATTTTTCTTAGTAGATAGCAAGATACTAAAAATTTGCTATTTAAAAATGTATCTCAACGTTTACATTCCTTTTCAAGTGATGTCCTATTATATGTCTTTTTGTGAAACAAGGTGAAATGATATAGCCCAAGAATGAAACAGAAATCTCCTGAGTTCCATTTCTGGGATGTCTCACACAAAAGATCATTTATTTCTTCTAAAGGTAATTTTCTGGGAGAGTTAATAAATACTGTATTTTGGAATAATGTAATTTGTCATCAAATAATTTTCTAGTATCTTAGCATTTTAAAATATGAGTTTTGGGAGATAAGATATAAGTTTATTTTACTATTTATTTCAAGTTATAAAATGAACAAAATGAACTTGACTTATTATTTTTTGCCCTTTTCTACACTGATCTCTTTCCTTTTTTTTTTTTGAAGCAATTTC